GAAGAGCNGCGACAGTTCCCTCTAAAAATTTGTTATGCGATGACAATCAACAAAAGTCAAGGACAATCCTTGAAAATTGTCGGTTTGTATCTATCCCAACCTGTTTTTTCTCATGGGCAACTATATGTTGCGGTGTCTAGAGTCACCTCAAAAAAAGGTCTCAAAATTGTTATCACTCATGATTCCGACATGCCTTACGGCTATACAAAAAACATAGTTTATAAAGATGTTTTGAAACATTTGCATGAAGGTATAACTTTGCATTATTATTTTGTCCTTTTATTTATTTTTCTAAACATGACTCTGCCGTTACTTTGATAAATCAGCTTAGTAAGTTTTCAATTTAATTTGGTTCTCAATTTTTATTCTATTTAGATTGATGGAGATGATGCCGCTTCATTTTCCAAGACCATACTAGCCAGCAAACAAGCTCCAAATCTGGGTTTGCAGGTTGGTGATCAAAATGTGATTGTAATCAAATATTTATATATAGATAAATAACTGAAAGTTTTAGTTTCAGAGATGAAATAGGTATGAGTGCTTATTGAAATCTGTTCTATTGTGGTTTTTTTTGCAGGAAAAGCAAGAAATTACAATTGAAAAAGCCAAGTGTAATAAGCAGAAATGTATCACCATTGTGAAAGCACTGCAGCTTTTTGGTGAGCTATCTGTTTGTATTATATCCTTTGTCTTTCTATTTGCAAACTTTTATTTAAATCCTAGCATAATAGGTAACTGCAATTTATTTTTTGGATTTGGTTCTTCACTGATGGGATGTTGTGGGGGCGTGATTTGCGGGAGATAGGGGAGGGGATTGGGTGCAGAGAGAGGTGAGGGCAGGTGCACGATTAGGGGGACAGAAAGAGAGTTGATTGGGTCCACCATGAACAAAGCTCCTTTGAAGTTCGAAAGCCCGATATGAAATGCAATTTCCATAATCCTGTTCGCCCTGAAATCCGACAATGTCCTCATCTCCTCTCGCGACCTGTAAGTGTTACTCCACTTTGGTTCTCAGTAATATGGAGTTTGTAGCACTTTTGGCTTTTCAATTCTAAAAATTTATTCTTTAAATTCTTTTTGCAGATATTAAGATTGTACGACCTGGAAGTGACGGGCATACCAAATGGATCCATGGATGGATGAAACTATGAAGAAGACTCATGTCAGCCGCCAAGCTACCCGAAAAGTGAGGCTTCAAATTTGAGTTGTCTTTCATATCTGTGTGTGATTTTTGATTTCTTTGGTTCTGGATGGGTTTTGATTTCTTTGATTCTGGGTGGATTTTGATTTCTTTGATTTCTGAGTTGGCTAATTTATGTGCTCATTTATTTCTTTATATACAGCTTCCAAATCTTGCGTGGATTTTTCAATGAGTTGCACACCTCAATTCGGTTGTTGCGGTTGACAGGATTAAAGCCCAGTTTCAGCACAACATTTACTCCCAAATCGACTGTTTAACAGATAGGTATTTTCTTTTGCTTTGTTGTTGACAAAATGAAAGCCTGTTATGTAAATTGATCGTTTTTATCTCGATTTTTTGTATTAATTGGACGACAGTGATCCTGACATGGCAGATCCTCTTCTTCAATGGTAAATGACTGAAAAATATTGTCCCATCACCGCGGAAAATGAGCTGTCCATTGTGACCATAATCCATGGAGGTAATCTCACCGTCAAATATTTTATGAATGACTCTCCCACTGTTAAAATTGAAAACTTGAAATATAGGTGTAAAAGTTCCACCAAAACAAATACAATCAATTAAATTGATAATATCCTTGCAACCCTATAACATTATTGGAATAAAAAAAACAAAAAAAATACCTCCCTCATGTTTCATAAAAAGGATAAGCAAATATGAAAGTAACAATATAAACTTTTTATATGGGGATGTCTAATAAGATGTTCCATTGTGATTGTAATGCAATGCATGCAATAAATGGCGTTTTGTTCATCTTATCAGGGAGCAGTAAAATCTTTATAAGTATGAATCCGTGTTCATATTAATTTGAGATCCAAGATGTTTTTTAGACTAAAAGAAAGAGTTATAAAGTAAATATGGCTGCCATTTGGACCAGAAGACCACATACTTTAACAATATATGATGAAAACTACTCATTGTTCTCTTATTCATTTTCTAATTCTTCTCTTTAAGATATAATATGAAAATCTTATTTCAAAATTGTGTTTTTTCCCTTCAGAAAAAATTTGGGCTATAAGAGCTCAGTGCAAAGCTTCCTGTAAGCATGGGACAAAACCAAGGCACAGTTCCACGCAAGGTGGTTCAATCGTTCATTTTCGTCTAATTGGTACTTGCCCTCCAATTATTAGATTTCTTGCAATTTTACTTTTGCAGTGCTCTTATAGTTTGTCATTTTGTTTTGAGATGCTTTTAATTCTTATTACATAGGGGAGCAATAGTTCATGTGTGTGAATTTTTGTTTGGTTGTGTTTGGGGTTCAGAAGTGGATCCATTATGCATGGATAGCTGGCTGTCAGCTTATCCCATGTATCTCTTATGTTTTCACTTTATTAATGTGCTGAATTATGGTTTCTCTCTAAATTGAAGAACTAAAAATCGCAACCAATCAAAAAAGTAATCAGATATGAAATGAGTACTTTGCTTTCTCATCATTTGTCTGTTTTGTAATTTTCATTTATTCATCTTCTTTTGACACTCTATTCAATTGTATTTTTGGTTTTCCCTGCTTCTTTTATTTTATGCTTGCATGTTCTTTTGTATGCCTGATGTCTTTCTCTACAAGCTATGCATGAAGATTTGTTGTTGTTCTCAACTAATAGATATAATTTCACGAATTATGTTTTTAAAGTCAGGGAAAAGACTTCTTCAGCATAACTGGGGTTGCCGTGGGGTTGCTGGGACCTGTTTTCACTACAAATAGGATGTATCTTTTATATAAAAGAAAAAAATGGTGAGTTCACAAAATTTCATTCTTCATCTTGATTTCTTTGATCATACTTTTTCTTTCATTTTGATTCTTCCGTTAGCTTTGCTAATTGCTACCACTCAATTTGCAATTTAACATCAATTACATGCTAAATGAACTTTAGAGATCAAGTAGGGAGTGGAATGAGAGGAAAAGTCGTCACTTTCTCTCAGCTCTCTCTAGACAAGGTTTCCAAATAGTTTTCCCTTATTTTTTATAATTGTTTTTTTTTAGTTTAATGGGATGGAATTAAATAGTTAAGCTACCATACTAATGAATGTGCTTTATTGAATTTTTTAGTAATCAGAATGTGACAAAATGAACACCTCTTTGTGTTTTTTAATTTTTCTCACCTTTTCGGATTCAATCCCATGCCGCCATGTCCAGCTCGCTCGGTTACCATAATTGACACAAAAATTGGAAGTACCATATACCCAGTCACAAACACTCAGGAAATCATAGCCACGTGAAAAGAAGCTTCCTTTTTTTGCTGGTCAAAGAAAGCTACTTCCTTTAAAAACCAGAAAAGTCAAAGCGACTGCCTTTTCTCTCTCTTCTCATCACCATCACTTTTTGTGTCTAATTGGAGTAAGTGTTTTCGGATGCCCCTACTTTGAATCTTCAATTTTTTTCCCTGCGTCTTTATTTACATTCTCAGCTTTTACACTACAACCGTTAGATCTGTTATTTTTGTTTTCTCTCTCTTATTTTTTTTTTTGGTTTTCAACAATAAAGTCATCATCTTGCTTCCCCATTAACATTTAGCGCAAATAAACAAATTCAAGTTTTATATTGGGTTTAATGCATGCCCAAGATTGGATTTTGGGCAAAGTTTTTGAAAGTTAATGGTTACATTGCTGACGATTAATATGTAAACATGTTAAATTCAACCAGGTGCATAGACTTGAATTGCAACGTTACATTTCCACTTTTATTTATAATTGCACCATAGAGAACCACTATAATTCTGAATATTGTTATGCTAATTAAACGCTTAATAAATTTTGTAAAAAAAAAAAAGATTGTATATGGTTCCCACAAATTTAGAATGTGCAAGAACTAGGAAAAAGAATTTGTATACATTGTTTGTTCATTTAATTTTGCTAAATATTAATTTTACTCTAATTGTTTGCTTTGTGTTTTAGGTTTTTGGAATTTTGATGTTTGGTAGTTATTTTGTGTTTCGATTAAAGCATTTGGTAATCTATGACTCTGTTGGTGCATGATCTCAGGATTCCAAATATAGTTCTCAAACTATATTTTGGGATCCCACTTCATATGCCAATACATTTTGTAATATGGATCAATGAAATTAATTGCTAATTTTTAGACTTTTGCATAACCTGATTTCTGAGTTCGACTCTGCAAATAATTTTAAAATACAGTATAACCTGATTTCTTAGTGGTTTGGATTTATGTAATCTCATCATCTCATGGTTTCTTTTTGTTGAGCAGAAAGCTTGGGAAATTGTACAGGTCCCATTCAAGAATTTGGTGATGATGGTTTCATGATTTGGATGGCTGGGAGTATAGTGTATTTGTTTAGCACTGAATCACATTTTCCGCTCTCTTTGGCAACCCATAATCACCTTACATGGTGTAGAGAAGGGTAAATGATTCTTATTCTGTTAATTGGTCTGTATGTGTTTGATTCTCCACTTCAACTCCTTTATTTGGTAGTGTTATATATTCTGTTCATACAGTATAGACTAATGCTTAAATTAGATATTGCTAAACTTCTAAATCCTTAGCTGCTCTACCTTGAATACATTTCGAGTTATTTTATATAAGATTTTCCCTTATGAACAAGTAAACTAAATGGAGTGATTCTTATATTTCTTAAGATTTGGTTCCCCAAAATGATTGTGACGATGATGAAAAATGTTTATTATGTGATTTTAAAAAAAAAAGGGTCAAATACAGTAAAAGTAACTCAAACTATGTCATTCAGGGAGGGAGGGAGGGAGGGAGAGACAGAGAAATGGATTTGGTGAGAGTAAGGCATGCGGCTCGCAAGCAGACAGAGTTCTAGGGTTTAAGAGTTGGTTTCAAGAAAGTGAACGGGCTAGAGTGGGGGTAAGGCTTGGGCTGGGTTTGTGCAATGGTGCTGGATTAGTTACAGACAGAGAAGGCGATGAGGACGTGGAATGTCAGGGACAGGAAGGGAGAGGGAGGTCTGCCAAAAATTAGGATTGATGGTGAGGAGATTTTTAGGGCAGGCATGAGGCCATGCTGCCTCTGAGATAGAGATAGAGAGAGACACAGAGAGAGAGACAGAGCGAGAAAGGGCGGGATTTCACAGATTTGCAAATTCATCCCCTTGCTGACAGTTCCGATCTGATTTGAAGATTTGTCAACTGGCTATAATTTCATGGTAGCTTGGTTTAAAGCGGTTCCAAAATATGGGATCGTTTGGAATATGTTCCCCTCTCTCTCCATCTCAGATCTCTGCAGTTTCATAAATTAGGGTCACAAATTTCTCTCTAACTTCTGATTTTTTAATTTGTGCTCAGTTTTTTGTTTGTTCAGATTTTCGACCTATGGTCTGATTGACATTGGGTTTGCTCGAGTTTACAGATCTATGTGTGCAGCAAGCAAAATCCTTTCATTCATATGAGCTTCTTGATCCTCTTTAACTTCACAGCAGCTGACCTACCTGGGTTAGTAATCTTAAATTGATTTGTTAATTTCTGTTGTTAAATGGTTATCTTTAATTGATTCCTTCCAGGTTATTTTCGTCTGCAGCTTTTCTTTCGGCTCCAGAATACCATATGGAGACATATCATCTTTCTCTTCTCTCTCTCTCTCTCTCTCTCTCTCTCTTCATGATCTGTGTCTTTCTTTCTTTAGGTGCGCACCATCAGGGTGTATTATTCTTTGTTTTCAGGTCAGTTTCCTTTTTTTTTTTTTTTTGGTTTTTTTTTGTAGGTTTTTAGTTCGTTAATTTGTCACTATGTTTAGATTTTTCGTTCGTGCATGATTAAATGGGCATTCGGTTTTGGTTGTTGAAAATATGATTTTTTTTTTCTGCTTAAGCTTCTTCCTCTTTTTTCTAGAATTTTTGGATTTCAGTTGCAACGGTAAACAGAACACTAAAATCGATATTGGCAGTTGTATTAATGCATTTTCATTTTCGTTGCTTTGCAGGATAGGTGCATTGAGACCTAAAAATGTATGCGTGAACTTCATACATTTTTGTGAGGCTCGGAACCTTGAAGGGTAAGTGTTTTTGCTTTGTTGTGATGTTAAAATGATGTGAGTGTTGGGGTTGGGGAAGGATACTGGTTCTTCCAGATTACTGGATTATGGTTGTTAAATTGACACGTTCTTAGATTATTGGATTACGGTTATTTACCTTTCTCTTTGAGTTTAGCATGTTTGAGAATTGATAATGGATTTACTATGTTTCAGGATTTTGGATCGTTGGAGTAAAAACTTGGTTCTTTGGCATTTGAAGGTATATAATCATACACCTTTTTTTGTTCAGAGCTTAATCAAGAGGACAGCCTTATTTAGATTTTCTTCTCTGTGAAAAAGTGAATTAGACCTCAATTTTTTTTAGCATTCTCTAATTTCTGTGATGTTTGATATGTATTTTATGGTTTGTGACATCTGTTATACCAATGTTTACTAAACTATGATTCATGTTTTTTATTATAGGGCTAAACATGTTCGTCCACCGAAAAAATGACTGACTAGAGTCTCCATTATAAATTGCCACAAAGTTGCTCTGCCGTTTTTTGCCTTTAAAACATGTACAGCTGAAAACTTAGTTGTTGAAGCAACAACAGAACCTTTTTTTGAGTTTTTTGTAACTGCTTAAACAAGTGCCTAGATTCTAGAGTATGTATTTTGTCACCTTAACTATAGGGGAAAATATGTGTCAACTACATCTTCCTTTTGTAACTAACAAAAACAGGCATCCTACATCTTTATTCCTTTGAACATTTGGCTTTCTTTTTTGTAAGTACTTAAACAGGTGCCTAAGACTGCAAGGCCTGTATTTTGTCACTATAACTACAAGGGAAAAATATGTGTGAACTACCACTTTCTTTTATAACTTATGGAAACAAGCATACTGCATCTTTGTTACTTTGAACATTTATACTTGAAAGATTAGCTTCCAAAAAAATTGCTTTTTATTTAATGTTGATATGCGTACTGTTTTTAGTTAATAGAAATTGGCTGGTAATTAACAATATTACCATTTAGATGCCTTCAATTGTTCTTATTGAAAGTATTTAGTTGAATTCTACTATTTACAGCAAGCCATATATACAATGATGTAATTCTAAAAGTAGAGATTTAATGGCATTACTATGTTTTTAGTTCAATTCAATGATACAAACTGTTAATTTCCTTTACAGTTACTTTTATTTCAAGACACTGCACTCTTCTTTCAATCCCACATTCTTATAAATCCTCAAAAATAATATTTTTACGCAGAATTAGTTTTGCAAAATACACACGACGGTCTTAAAATTGAGAGTTATTAAAATAATATGATTTCCCTGGAATCTGACGGTGTTAAATTGCAACAACTAAATTTTTTCCGTTGTATTAAATTTTCGAAGCGCTTCCTTTACACTTTTGATAACTTAGCAGCTGCAAGAAAAGCACAAGCAAATAAATTTTTATTTTACTGCAGCTAGGGGTAGATGGGTTAGGAAAGTGGGAAATGGACCAGTTTTTGTTTTTTATTCCTTGAGTCCATTATTTTGTAAGTGGTTTGCCGACTCCTTAATTTAATAAGATTAGTTTAGCACTTTGTGATAACAAAACAATTTAAAAGTTGAAAAACCTTATCCACTCATCTATTCTATTAAACCTTAAAGATACCTCCCAATATAAACATAAATTAAATATAACTAAAAAAAATACAAATAAAACAAACAATACTAGAGAAAGCAATGTCATCCACAAAAACCAGAAGAAGGACAATACCAGATCTGATGTTGACCTCTTTAACATTGAAGATTGATTTTTTTTTAAAAACCGGCTCCTTTCTTTTCTCCTATTTCGGCTCAACTACATGCTGCTACACCTTTCAATCGACTGGGTTAGGTTGCTAATTCTCAAAAGTTCAGAGAGTAAATTTGTCCATATTGTTTAGCAAGGAGCCACTCGATTTCACACACTATTTACAACAAAGCTGTAAGGTTTTGCCTCATATTGGGGCTGGGTTAGAAGGGTAATTTTATCCTGTTTGTTTGTGACAGATTGCGGTGGGTTTACGTTTGCTGTCATTCACTGAGCTTTTCGGGGATGGGAGGCCATGCCTCCGATAGAAAGAGAGAGAGACACAGCGAGAGAGAGAGGGAGAGGGAGGACTGGGGATCTCAGTGTCATTGCTGCAGATCCTCGATTTCATGAGTGGGGAAGGAGAAAGAGAGAGAGCAGAGAGCAACATGCGTTTTTTGAGGTTAACGAGTTACCCCACGGGGTTGGTGAACAGAGGATGTCTGAGAGAGGTATGGGAGAGGAGAGGGTTTTTCAGTTTTGTCCTCCTCTGATTCAACAGGTAAAATACTGTTGAGAAATCATTGTTTGTTGTTTGTTTCCCATTACCTTTGTTAAAACTGTGATTGACATTTTTTTTTGTTTCAATAAAATTGTAATGGATGTTTATAACCTGCTTAGTTGGGTATTAGCAAGATAGATCTGTTTAGTGCACTGTTTGGTACATTGTTACAGTCAGGTTCGTGTCTTTTAAACTTAGGGTGTCGCACTGTTCGCATTTCTGTTTTCTTCATGCTTTGCTGCTGTTTCCTTCTCAGCAAGTCGAATTGAGGTTCCTTTTCTGCTTTACATCCTTTGAATCTCCCTCTCTCTTGCTAGGTTGTTTCTTTGAATATCCCTCTCTTGCTAGGTTGTTTCTCCATGTTTTGTTGCTTCTGTATTTGTGCGATAAGAATGTTTGAAGACTGTTTTATTTATTGTTTTGCTCCTCTGTTGCTAGGTAGTATAATTTTGGAACAAGTTTCTTCTCTATGTGTTCAAATCCATCATTGTTTTTTTGTTCTTCAGTTTCTTTTTCACCATTTGCTCTCTTCTGATCATTGATAGTTTAATAGCACTTGCAAATTCAGCACAAACAAATTATCTACTCTGTTTATTTCTACTAAGCAATATTTCTTTGCCGAGATTATGTCTAACTTTAGCATACTTGAAGCCGGTATGCTATGCCATCAGTTGCTTCTAATTTTGTAAACAGTTAATATTATCTTAAAAGTGAAATTATGAATCCTTATAATTCAAATGCCAATGATTCGAAGCTCATGACTGCATTATTATAGCTCTGTAAGACTTATACTAATGTGAATAAAAATTGCTGACATACTTGCCATGTAAACTCATATCCATTTGCTACTATTGTCCTGCTTATTTGACCACATTAAGGGTAGTGGAAGAAGATAAAGAGCTTGACTTAGTCATCCTGTTTCCTTTACATGAGGAAAGAAACATAATAAAAGTTAATCTTCCTGTCAATTTCCAGTTCATTATGGCCTTGGCCGAGGCCTCTTGCAGTTTACTCAACATTTGACTTAGGCCTTAACCTTTCGTATTCTTTATTGAACCAAATTAGTTCTGTTGGTAAAAAATGTTTGTAAATTGTTTTTTTTTTTTTGGTGTGTCTTTTGGTCATTTAGCTAAAATTTCATTACATTTGGTCTTTAAATTTGAAACTCTCTGAGTTGTTAACGGATTTACTTTGTTTGCAGATTTCAGAAATTTGGATCGTTGCAAGAAGAAGCTGGTTCTATGCCGTTTTGAGGTATATAATTATACGCAATCGCTTTTATTCAAAACCTAATAAGCTATCTACCTTTTTTTATTTATATTTGTGAAGCTTTCATGTTTGGAATTTAAATATATAATTCAATTTTTGTCGTTTGAGCTTATTTTGGAACTAAGTTTCTTCCTATTTAGTCTGCGTATCTGTATCTGTCCGTTTATGTCAAGATTGAAATAACTAAGCATCCATTTGGTCGTTTGAGCTTAGAATGGAACTAGGCTTCTTTCTATTTTGTGCATGTATCTGTATGTCTCTATTTATGAAAGCTTGAGATAATTGAGCATGTATTTGTACCAAACCCGTTCCAATTGAATGGTTGTTGTATTTGTTCGAAACACCATTCGAATTGGATGATTGGTTTATTTGTTCTAAAACCCCATTATAATTGTATTTGCTTGGATGTGCTGTTAGTATAGGGATAGTTAGATTAGGAATTTTGTTTTGCCATTTTCTGATTGGTATCTAATTACAGATTTTGTGTTGCATGTCTACATGTTTCAGTGTCTGTCCTATCTGTGTAGTTAGTTTGGGATGTTTTTAGATTCTTAAATAGTGCTGCTTAATATTGTTTATAAGTTTATTTTTATGACTGGGGGAGCAGCGATACTGTCGCAACTGAACTTAGAGTTGTGAAGCATAACTGAATTGATAGGTAACAAAAGTACTGGGAGAACTTTCATGGGTAAGAATAAGATCGCCATTTTTTTCATCCTCTTAGCTCAATTTCGTAGTTAGATGTCCATTGAAGACACAGTCAAGGTTTAGATTCAATGTGTTTTGTATAATTTTGTTTTTTAGTATTAAACAAGCAAGAAGCCACCTTTCAAGGACTGCAGCATATGTAAGAGTATACGTAAAATTGAAAACCATTTATAGTTAAAAAAAAAAGGGACGGATTAACTAAAGAAAAGTTGAAAATTTTTATCTTCCCCATATATTACTCATGATTCCGACATACCTTATGGTTATACAAAAAACATAGTTCATAAAAATGTTTTAAAACATTTACATGAAGCTATAAGTTTGCATTGTTATTTTGTCATTTTGTTTATTTTTCTAAACATGACTGTGCCGTTACTTTGATAAATTAGCTCATTAACTTTTCAATTTAATTTGCTTCTCCATTTTTTTTCTATCTAGATTGATCGAGATGATGTCGCTTCATTCTCTAATACCATACCAGCCAGCAAACAAGCTCCAAATCAGGGTTTGCAGGATGTGGATCACAAAAACCATCGAAGATGACCCTCAGCCACAAAGTCTTGATTGTGTGTTTGTTGATAAACAGGTGAGAATATTTCCTCTTTTTCGTTATCGTAAGATGCTTATGTTTTTTATGTATCCAAGTGTGCATGTTGTGTTCTTGGTACAACAAATTTTGTGGTCAAACATTCTCTAAAGTTTGGGAACTGATTGCTCTATGCAATTCATTGCCGAATTATACATCACTTCCACATGATTAATGTTTGTGTGGTTAATTGTTCTATTGGATTCAATCATGGGCCTTGATATCAATTTTTAAACTGAGCCACTACATTCATGCAAATCCAAAAGAAATCAAAATTCCATCTTCTCCATATAATGCCATGTGATGATGCAATAAATTTTGTTCTTACAAAACCAAATTTTAGACTCTGTTGTTGACACTTTTCCTCTCCTTGCATTTCACTACAAAGATTATATGGAAATCTGTTGAAACAATTTTTTTTGCATGTGTAAACAAAACTAAGTAGAGACAATCAATTCTTCTTTTTCTTAATTTGTTTTGTTTCTTTTTTTTTACTCACAAAAATATAATTCAAACTTTATTTATAAGTTTGCTTCACTTGCTATCATTTCAATTCATAAAGTAATCTTTACTATTATGGTGTATTATCTTAAATGCCGCCTCTGTGAACATAATTGTTCTATCCTCACTGTTTTTTAGCTTCTTAAACCGCATGTATTAAATGTTCTCCCGCACATTTAATAATCTATATTATTTTAATTTTCTCCTTCTAACAGGGGGATGCAGTTCACGCGACTGTGAATGCTCGAGACATTCAATTTTTTTTTGGACCTTCTGACAGTCGGCGATGCATACGAGATCACTAAATTTCGTGTTGTTCACAACAGGACATCGAGCAAAAGTTGTCCCTCATCCTACGGCGGCGCTTGAATTAAATAGGAGAACCACATTCGTTCCAATTCACAAAACAAATCAGGAGATCCCAAAGCAATGGTTCAATTTGATTGACCTTGATCAACTTCATAAGAGAATCAACAACGATGTTGAACTTACAGGTAACAAATTTGGTTTTGCGTGTTGCACTAACATCTAAAATCATCATTTATAATTTATTCATTGCCTTTGGTGCGCAATAATTTTCACCGCTAAATATTATTCATAGATGTGTTTGGTTATTTAACAGCTAAATATTGTTTGCAGATGTGTTTGGTCATTTAACGGCTGTGCAGCCGATTGAAGACGTGACTGTCCAAAGCTCAAGAATTGCGAAGAAGAGGAATCTTAACTTGCAAGACATCAGGTCATTCCTATGCGTTAAGTTAAAATTACGCACATAAAACGTCATATTAATGACATAAAACATCACATATTTTTAAACTTACAGGGGCGAAACGATTAGGATCACCTTATGGGGAGAAGCTGCAACAACTTTTGAGGACAGTGGAATAAAATCCCTTCCACCACCTATCTTCCTTGCTGTAACAAGCCTCAAAGTCAAAGAATACCGAGGTTGTACCTCAACGTCCTTTATTTAGCTGCTTAAACCATCTATTGCTCATTCTTATGTTTTATATATAGGAAACCCTGTTCTTGGAAGCACTGGATCAACTGTTTGTATTTTCAATCCAGAGATTCCACAGCTCACCCAATACAAACAAAAGTAAATCGACAACCTTCCTTTAATAACTTTGCTGTTTATATTTCTTCAATTTGTCTTTCTCAACCTAAACATTCATGACAAAGGTTTAAGGATCTGAAATCACCTGTTCAAACCTTACGCACCTCAGCGGAAATGTATGCAGACCGTGCTGTTAGTCCTAATTTTGAGTCCAAAACAATTGATGAGCTCCTTCTACTTGATCCTGCTTTGCACAAAGTTAGTCTCTTATCACCTACTTATTAAGAAAAATCACATCTTTTTAATAATAAATTTTATAACTGCTTCATACTTAGCTATATCTTGCTTTCTTCTATATTCATTTATATTTCATGTTTACAAGACGATGATTAAATGTATTTCATTATTTTAAAATTGTGTGATTCCATAACAGAATGTAAGTTTTGAATGCAAAGCGACTGTCATTGGATTTGATTTGAGTAGAGGTTGGTGGTACAAGTCGTGCCCATTCTGCCATAAAGCTGTCAAAAAAACTTCCGGAGCATTTCAGTGCAATGAACATGGTTCATTAAACAGGTTACCTGAACCATGGTAATTTCTTTTACACCTATTTTACATCTAACTGTTGTATTAAGCTGCTTAGTCATTTTTTAAATTTCTTGCAATTATAAAATTTATGATTGATGATGTTTTTGTGGCTATCATATGGTTCCTGTGCTATTTTACTTAAAAATAGTTTAGTTATATTGGTTTTTTTTTTTTCGTTTTGGATTTTGTGATCATTAGCATTCTTACACCCATTATGTGGTATCTGGTTAAATTTGTTGACTTGATGCTTTTGGCAATCTATACTTTCAGAATGTTAATGGTAGTGATAAATGCCTAACCTGAAAATATATAACTCTTCCTTAGGTTCAAAATCAATCTTATAGTGGAAGATAGCACAAATCAGCACAATTTCCTCATGTTAGGAAGGAACGCTGAAAAGATACTTCATGTTTCTTGCCACACTTTGGTAATAGAAGACGGATATGACGATCCCTTCATGGTGCCACCACCTCTAAAAAAATTGGTGGGCGAGACAAAAAGATTTTTGCTATCTTTTGGCAATCAAAACAGTGATTTTAGGAAGACAGACTTCATCATTTATGGATTGCTTCAAGATCAGCTGCCCTTGAACACAGCAATTGCCTCAATCGACCCACAAACGCCTACTGCCACTGCAGGAAAACAAATTATAACTGAAGCGACTCCTGCCCCAGTGACACCTTCCCAGCGGCCAGATCACCATCCCCAATCGGTTGTACCTCTCAAAACTTCAAAGAGACCATTGTTCATTGATCAAGCAGACAAACCAGACAGGTTAAGTTTTCCTCTCAGTTATCATCTTATGTGTAAGTTTTAATAAATATACTTGCTTATCTTGGGTGAACATATGTATTATGCTGTTGATATAAAAATTGTTAGCCAATATTTTTGCTCCAGTCTTTTGACTCCTTTTTTCATACCTATCACAATTCTCTTAGACCTTATAAATTCTACCTTCATTCACAGCAAAAAAACTCGCACCGAGCAAATAGAGGTAACCAATTCTGCTAGAATTGCCAGAGAATTCCACAAACTGGTTGTCCCTAAGATTGAGCCCGCCGATAAAGAACCGATAGCTGCGCTCAAAACAAAGTCTCAAACCAAAAAAACCAAGGATAGGTAAATTACAATTTATTTTTTGCATGCACACCTACATAACATCTGTTATACCAATGTTTACTAAACTATGATTCATGTTTTTTATTATAGTGCTCAAGATGTTCGCCCACCAAAAAAGTGAATGACTACATTCTCCGTGATGAATTGCTACAAAGTTACTCTGCAGTTTTTTGCCTTTAAAACATGTGTAGCTGAAAACTTAGTCAAAACATTTTTTTGAGCTTTTTGTAACTGCTTAAACAGGTTTCTAGGCTGCAGGGCATGTATTTTGTCACCTTAACTATAGGGACAAAATATGTGTGGACTGCATCTTCCTTTTGTAACTAATGGAAAACTGCATCCTGCATCTTTATTCCTTTGAACATTTGGCTTTCTTTTTTGTAACTACTTAAACAGATGCTTAGACTGCAGGTCATCTATTTTGTCATTATAACTACAGGGGCAAAATATGTGTGTCCTCTTTCTGTAACTAATGAAAACAAGCATATTGCATCTTTGTTGCTTTCAACATTTATGCTTGGAAGAATAACTGCAAAAACAAAAACAACCTTATCTTTTTTACCTTTCACTCATCTATTCTTTTTATTAGTTCGTGTAGTTAACATTTGTGCATTCAAGTCCCGCAGCAACGCGCGGGCAGTTTTGCTAGTAAATCCTAAATCTTTTATCTTTTCTATACAAAGCCGGCAGACCCTATTGGTCACAGGCTTCACTAAAATGAAGTGGACAGAAATGCCCTTCAAACAAAAAAGTTCGAAAATAGTCTAAAATAATGTAGGAGTGCCACTCAATACTACAATCTGGTGATATTCATCTTCATTTGAAAGTGAAAGGTCTTAGGTTCGAATTTTGTGAATGACGAATTCAATACCAAATTAGGTTGCTCATTGTGTTGCTTAGCCGAACTCCCCCTCCCCTAATATAAAAATATCAATGTACTAAAAAAATAATAATAATGTAGGAGTAATTTTGTATTGAAAATAGTTTTTTTTTTTTTTTAAATTAGTATCTCACTATTACGTGGTCATGAAAACAATATTTTTTTTTTGTCAAATAGAAAGTTTTTTTTTTTAATTAGTATCTTATTATTACGTGGAATATCCAAGGATTTCTTCTAACATGATCTAATATTATTCATTTAGTTCAAACTTTCTCACAATGCATCAAGATTGTTTCATAATTTGTGTAATACAAATTGATCCCTTTTTCAAAAATGAGACGCTTGCCAAACATGTGGTTTGGACTTTGGACATACATAAAAGATCTTTACAGGCGCGTAATGCCCGTAATAAAATGTGCAAGTCGCGCGTAGCGCACCGTGATTCAAAAAATTGATTGTGCTAGATATGAGATTGCTTGTGATAAAGTAAATGCAAACTCAATTGTACTTGGTGACTAAGCGATGCAATCTCAATCATAGTATAGAGCACTGCTTTTTCTTTAATACTGAATCTGCAAAGAAAGTCGCATATAATTAGAACAAATGCAGTTGGAAATAAAGGGCAAGTTACATATATCATATCTATAGAAGTTTGAGCAGGAAATATGATCTTTCAAGGGGTTTTCTGCAACTGTTGTCTCTTTATTCTCTTCAGCTGGAATTAAGAGTTTTGATAACGTGTTAGAAATAAAATATAAAAGAGAAGAGAGAGATTGAGAAGAAATCGAAATATCTTAATTGAATACATGTTATGTATTGACGTAAAAAAAAAAACAAAAAGCAGGCACATGGCAAATGCAGTGCACATTTCCGTGTCCTTTCGGGAACGAATGCAATGCACATTTCCATTTCCCTTCCCGACACCTACAGACCTACAGTGTGGGACCCCCAACAGAACACAGAGTATCTCTTCACGTCCCAACTGAATGTTCCTGTAAGATAGCTACTATAAAATTTTGGTCAAGAACCGCGCACTCGATACCCATAATCTCCCCGGCTGTTGAGTAACAGACCAATAACCATCCAACCTTCTGCACGTGTCGCTCTCTCATTTGCCGTTCGTACAATCTTAATTGTGAACTGCGTGTGACCAAAACTAGAAAGTAGAAGCAAACCCCCCAAACCTCTGCGACTCCCCCCTCTCCTTCGCAAACAAAGCCGCCGCCGCCACTTTCAACCAACCGACAATGGAGGCCCTCCACCTCTGCCCCGCCCATTCCCCCCTCATCCGCTCCAAACGCCTCCATTCTCATCACCTCCCCAGCGGGCCGCACAACCTCAGCACCCGCCGTCCGCTCCGGCCCTTCGTTTCCGCCACCCTGTCCCGACCGACTGCCGATATTTCCGCCGAACCCTCCACCTCCGCTGCTTCATCGGAAACCATAACGAAGCCGTCTCCGCCTCCCAACCGGGTTTCCTCCAATTCGCTCCAGTACCCGCCCGGCTTCCTGGGAGCCGTGCCCGACCGTTCGGCCACGGACGGAAACGACAATGGGAACATTGTCGACGCCATGGAGTACTTGACGAACATTCTGTCGTCCAAGGTGTATGACGTGGCCATCGAATCTCCATTGGAATTGGCTACGAAGCTCTCGGAGCGATTGGGGGTGAAATTATGGATGAAAAGAGAGGACTTGCAGCCTGTAAGTGTGTTGCCCAATGGTTGATTTGAGTAGAATTTGGATTGGAAAATTTGGGGATTTTTCGATTGAATGTTTTCGTGTTGGAATGTGTAGGTTTTCTCGTTCAAGCTTCGTGGGGCTTACAACATGATGGCAAAGCTTCCAAGGGAGCAATTGGATCGAGGGGTTATTTGCTCTTCGGCCGGAAACCATGCCCAGGGAGTTGCTTTGGCTGCTAAGAAGTTGAAATGCAGTGCCGTGATTGCTATGCCCGTCACCACGCCGGAGATTAAGGTACTTTTTTTCATTTGGATCTTGGCTTTTGAAATTGTAAAATGTGGGTTTGGCGTTCTGAATTTTTTGAATTGTATATTGCTTGTGTATAGTGGAAGTCGGTGGAGAGATTGGGAGCCACGGTTGTTCTTATAGGGGATTCATATGACGAGGCTCAAGCTTATGCTAAGAAGCGGGCAAAGGAGGAGGTAAGGACCTTCATACCTCCTTTTGATCACCCGGATGTTATTATCGGCCAGGGCACAGTTGGGATGGAAATTATGCGCCAAACAAAGGCTCCATTGCATGCAATTTTTGTGCCTGTTGGGGGCGGTGGCCTTATAGCTGGTATTGCTGCATATGTAAAGAGGGTTGCTCCAAAGGTTTGTCTGGTTTTGGTGTTTTCAACTTTCTTACTATGTCTGTTGAGTTTACATTGCTGGGCAACTGAATTTTTCAAGTTCGTAGGTTTTCTTCTCGGAAAGATTTGATATTATTTGTTTTTTATAATGATTCTTTAGTTTCACATCATATAATTCTGAAAGAGCGCTGATTGTGGCATCTCTTATACAGGTGAAGATTATTGGTGTGGAGCCCTCTGATGCAAATGCACTGGCATTGTCACTACATCACGGCCAGAGAATAATGTTGGACCAGGTGGGTGGTTTTGCAGATGGTGTGGCTGTGAAAGAGGTTGGTGAAGAGACCTTCCGCTTATGCAAGGACATGGTTGACGGTGTAGTTCTTGTCAGCCGCGATGCTATCTGCGGCTCAATAAAGGTGAAATTTCTTTCGAGTCTTGAAACTTGCATGGGTGAGTGTCTTTTGCTTCTCATGCATTCTTTGGTAGTTGGCTTCTTAAAGAAGCCTTCTGCTTGCATTTGCATGTTATAGATTGTAAACCTACTTCTAGCTTTGTAACTGTACATACGCTACCTGTCTTAGAATTGACATATTTACGTACATATGAAGAAATTGAATTCATGGCATCAGAAGCTAAAATTCTTGGGCAGCAGTTAGAATGTGTTTGGGTGAAGAACAAAAGGGCTCGTCGTACAATCTTGGCAATTACTAAAATCAAGGAATATATCCCTCTCCCTTAGTGTCTTTCCACATAAGGAATTGTGGATTTACTTGAGGACTTCTAAATATGATAATCAGGTCGAGTGAATGTTCTGTATCTGCATGGGTGGTTTCTGGTGGCAATTATGTACTGTATATTGGTTACTGGATTACAAATGTATGATTAGAATGTCCAAATGGCCAAAAAAATATTCTGTTGTTGTGAATGTTGCTTTTAAGAATGGGAAAAACAGAACAAACTCGGATATCGAAAGCAAATAACCAAGATTAGCAACACCAAAACTATGTGCCTTCGTCCACGGGGCAACAACAACAATCTTTCACCATATCAATAATGAGTACAACGAATAATCTTGCCAAGCCTCTAGGATTAAGACTGGGTGAAAAGCTTGAAAGAACAAGAACATGATACACACTCTTATTTCTTGTCTTTTCTCTCGCACACACTTTGCCCTTCTCTCACTCTAACTCCTTGAGTAGTATACAACTTATTGTTTTGCTCCAATTCAAAACTAGTGCAATAGCCCCTTTATATAGACATAATAAAGGTCTTCTTCAATAAGGATTACAAATCCTAATTGGAATCCAGTTATGAATCCTTCTCCAATTGGACCAACTCCAGTTGAGAAACCACTCCAATTGGGAAAACAACTTCGATTGGGTAAATAATTTTAATCCTCTAAGGCTGTAATTCCTAATAAACTTAGGACAAGTCATCATGGGCTGGAAAAAATTCCTTGAACCAAGCTTACCATAACTGATATGGTAGCGAGGTCCTTTTCGGCTTGTTCTAATGCCTCAAGGCGGGCCATTTTTCTGCTGTTATTCTATTTAATCCTTCAAGCTTTGATACTAGGGTCGTCATTTTATGTTGATATTTTAGTTTGGTCCGTGACGTTTTTTCTCATACAAAGGGATGTGTGCTCCATAATGCACTTACGACATCAGAGAGCTTCTTGCTAATGTTGGTTCATTCATGTTCAGGAGTAACCTCTTTCCTTTATTTGACTGTTTGTGACACTGATCGGTTCAAATGCAATTATTGTGCTAGTGTACCCAATAGGGAAATGATGAGCAGAACAGTAGGTTACCATTTGAGAGTTTTGAATTCTTAGATTAGAACTAACAATCCTATTGCTTCTTTTGCAGGATATGTTTGAGGAGACAAGGAGCATTTTAGAACCGGCAGGTGCTCTTTCTCTTGCCGGTGCTGAAGCTTATTGCAAGTATTATGGTCTTAAAGGAGAAAATGTTGTTGCAATAACGAGTGGGGCAAATATGAACTTTGATAAATTGAGAGTGGTGACTGAACTTGCTAATGTTGGTCGACAACAAGAGGCTGTACTCGCAACTGTTATGCCCGAGGAGCCTGGGAGCTTTAAACATTATTGTGAACTGGTATGCTGATGGAGCCAAGTTACACATGCATTCTGCAAGCTCATAGTCTTTGAGTCTCTCTATGTTAAAATATTAATGTATTAGGTATCATAAATTAGTATATTAATGTGGATCTTTCCAGATTCATGTACCTAGTAGCCTATCAAAAGGTCTACTTCTTAATCTTTTAAAATAAGTATTAGTAAAATGAAATTCTGGGTTTCCTGCTTGTGCGTGAGGAGCAACCACCTTGGAGTGATTCCAATGCACCTTCAGTGTGAGGCTGAAGGCCAGTGTGATTTTTTTTTTCTGATTTCTCTATTGGAGTGCTTCCATTACACCTTTGGTGCGATGCCAAGGGCCGGGTGTGTCCAGATCTTCTTCTCTGTTCATATCTATTCCTGTTGTCCTACATCATATGCTAATAATGCTTTAGTCGATTGTTTTTTTGTTTTCCCCATCCTATTAAAGTTGTCTTCATGGTTTGAACTGAATCACTTTGGTTGACAGGTGGGCCCAATGAATATCAGTGAATTCAAATACAGACACAATTCTGATAAAGAGGCTATAGTATTGTACAGGTAAGCCTTAAGAAGGTTTTAGTGATCACTGTTGTTACTTTTTCCGAATTCAGGGCCAATTTCTTTTGCTTGGTTTAGATGTGTTTAGTACGGTCGTGTTGACTCCCATCAAATGGTTTTCTTACTTAGGGCTGATAATACATGCAGAAGTGAGATATTTATTTATCCTTTGTACGTTATATGCAGTGTTGGTGTGCATACAGCCTCTGAACTTCAAGAAATGCAAGAGCGCCTGGAGTCTTCTCAACTCAAGACTTACAATCTCACGAAAAGTGACTTAGTCAAAGATCACTTGCGTTACTTGGTAATTCTTCTACTTATAATTGTCTTTCTTGTATGTGCATGTGTGTATATATGAATTATGTTCCCTTCCCATACAGTGGCATGCTATGCTGCTCGACCATAGCAACACCATACAGTATGTGGAAAAGTAGCAATTTCATTTTTGTTTAGTCGATCAAATGACATTTTTTGATGGTCACAAGTTCCAAACACAGCACTTACCCCCATGCCATGGCGAGAGTTTGATTCTCATAATTGTCTTCCATTGCAAGACTGATTTCTTTTGACCCAAAAATAAGCACGTCATTTATGTCAACGGTGTAAATTTTTTTTTTTTTTAATTTTTTTTTTTTTAAAAAAGAAAGGACTTGTTTCCTGTCCTGGCTGCAGTTGCGCATCTTGGTCCTAAGTTTACTTTGTTTGCATCATTCAGATGGGGGGCCGATCAAATCTTCAAAATGAGATTCTTTGTCGCTTTGTCTTCCCAGAAAGACCCGGTGCTCTGATGAAGTTCTTGGACGCTTTTAGTCCACGTTGGAATATTAGTTTGTTCCACTACCGCGGAGAGGTTGTAATTCAACATCTTTTCCTTTTTAAAGATTTTATATTTCAATATGATTATAGTAAGAAATTTAAATTCGTTTTTTTTTCTTCTTATTATTAACAATACTTTGATTGTGTACTTGCCCTTCCTCTGCAATAGGGTGAAACCGGGGCAAATGTGTTGGTTGGGATCCAAGTTCCTCAAAGCGAGATCGATGAGTTCCATGCTCGAGCCACTACTCTTGGATACGACTATGTAGTAGTGACCGATGATATTGACTTCAAGCTTTTGATGCATTGATAAGACCATCCTGTTACGAAATCATGCATCTCTGGCGCTCGAATTCTGCATCGCTATGTTGTTTAGTCGTGCTTTATATATATGTTTCTACTGCTGAAACTTTGGGTCAGTTTTATAGCATGTAGTGCATTAATTTCACTTGGAATTTAAGAGAAATATGTATTCAAGGGCAAACTATGATATTCTGATTCTCTATCTTAAGAACACTGGCGTTTTAGAATTTCTAATCCTCTGTCTCATATGTGATGACTGAGATAAATCTCTTAGAACCTTGCTGTAATATAATCATATAATCTCAATTTTTTTTTATTTAAACTAACTCAAAAAACAAAAATCTAAATGGGCGAGTTTGGTATGCCTCATTCCCCATGTTTCGAAACTAGAATGATGAGAAATGCACCAAATGGTAAGGAATGAAATATCTTTTTATTTACGTTCCTATGCTTGGTTTGTGTTGTCTGAGGGATTAAAATTTGATCTACTTTAGAATAATACCTATTTTAATTCAAAATAAAATAAAATAAAACCGATGTAAATATAATTTCGAAGAGAGTGAGAGTTGCAATGATGAAATTGGGGTTCCACCATAAAACCAATTGGCTATATAGGGAGTAACCCAATATCATATAAGCACATAGCAAACCTTGTCTCTCACCAATGTGAGACAACTCTCAACACGTCCCTGCACATGTGACGGGTTTTCAAGCCTACACGTGAACAATAACTGGGTGATGTGGCGTGTGGCCGTTGGGCTTCACACGTGGACAACCTTGCTCTGATACCATGATGAAATTGGGGTTCCACCATAAAACCAATTGGCTATATAGGGAGTAGCCCAAGATCATATAAGCACATAGCAAACCTTGTTCCTCACCAATGTGGGACAACTCCTCAACAATGCACAACAAAAAGAGAAAATTTGAAATTTGGTGAGTTTGGAAATGTGGAGCCCTAAAAATAAATTCTATTATTTTTGTAAATTTTATTAATCAATGTAGTTTTTAAGGTTAATTATGCATATTCGTTGATGAAATTAGTTGAAATTGGTGAATATTTGTGGAATTTTTTAGAAATTTGGGTTGGATGTGGGTTTATGAAATGTTGTTGACAAGTTGTGTATAAGAGCTATGTCGTTCACTTTTGTTTTGTTGAAGTTATATTGTTTAGTTGGGAATGATTTGTTTTGATGAAATCTTTTTTAATTTTATGAATTCATTTGATATTGCTTAAGTCATGAAGTTTTGTATAGTAGATGTATTGTTATGAAAACTTGTTGACAGGTTGTGTTAAGGGTATACATTGGTTGTGTTCAGGGTATATATTGCTGAATTTGGTTATGTTGAATGCTTATATTGTTATGTGTACAGGAGATGACAACTCAGGGGATTCAGCTAGTAACAAAATAGGAAGAATCGTATAAGGGAAGGGTTAACAAACTTTCTCAAGCAAGTCATGTGCTAGGAGACATGCGTCAAAAGTTTAATGACGCACATCGTGCTGCCTTTAGGGAATCATGCTTTGGACACTTAGAGCATGTCAATAGAATGGCCTTCAAGGGCCCATTGGTGCATGAATTGTCACTCCGTAGAGTGGCTAATCAAGGGGTGAAAGGCCTAGAAGGGCTCACGTATTTAATAGGCTATAAAGTAACCCAGTTCACGAAGAAGGAATTTTGCCTCATTACAGTGCTTCATTGTAGAAATTTTTTTGTATCGCTGATATGTGTTGTTGGACAGCTTTCCATTTATTGTGACATATTGTGATGAATTAAGTTAGGGAAACTAAACCTTATTATTACTTGTTTTGGATGACTTTAGAAAATGCATTGTATATATTGGATATAGGTTTGTGACAACTTATGAAACTAAACCTTATGTTTACGAAATCACATTTTCAGTTACCGTTAGGATTAATGCGTAAGCGATATTTAATTTGTAAACATGTTGAACCAATGCGGATTAGCAAAGACTGAGTCATAATTGCTGTCATGAGCAATCAAATGCACATAGCGATAAAAAAAATAAAAACCAATTATATTATGGACTAGCGACATTGAGTTTGAAAATTAAATATGAGCTCTGAACTCGATGTGATAATGACACACCCCGACCTAAAATCAAGGCATGAAGGCCATCACATGAGGGTGACGAAGACATGTGCACAGTACGGAAGCAATAAGGATATGAAATATACAAATAAATAAGAACCGAAAACTAATTAATGTGCACTAATAAGTAGAAAGTGCTAGGAATGAGATACAAGTGTAAATACACCTAATCAGAGCATAGAAAGTTTAGGTGCAGTTCAGCAAGACAAGTACTAGTTATACAATACCAGAAGAAGTCCTACGGATATTATATTTTGTCAGAACCGCTGAGATCCTCAAATGCCACCAACAACGAGTCTATCTAAAACCTGGAGGGCGCAAAACAGAAAGTGTGAGTGGGCAAAAACAAAGCTTTTCAAAATCGTTTCATTTAACAAGCCTCTAACCCCTCCCGTAAAACATGTATCATTTTCCCAGGAATGGAATAATATATATATATATATATATATATATATATCAATTCATGCTTCACACATCCATAATCACAAATATGCCATGCCAAGGTATAAACAGAATAAGTAACTCAGGTGAAAATAAATTCATGGAAAATAACATATTAGCCGGAACCCCTGCAGAAGTCTGTACGGCTGAATTCATAGCTCATTAATCAATCTAGCCGGAGTCACTACAAGTGACATATACGACACTACACTGCACAAGAGTAGGAACCACTGTAAAGGTATGTACGACAAGACTGGGTCTCCTACACGTATAGCATGTGTAGCCCTATGCCCCATCTGTCCATAAGTATAGCATGCATTGCTGCCTCTCTTACACTCCCCAAAATTCCTATTATTACACCTACGACATAAAGGAGCACCTGAACCACCAAAGTCCCTTTGCCTCTGAAATTTTGAGCCTCCAAAAAATCTACCACTTCTCCTTTGCACATTAGAGCTTAAACCTCCACTAGAAGAGCTGGAACTGACACCACTTCTATTAAAACTCTGAGTCTTACAAGGTCCTTGAGATGATTGACCTTCACCTTTATCATCTCGCCTCTGGTTCCCGTTCTTTTCTTCTTCATCTTCACTTTCACTGGGCATGTTCTTTGAGTCCTCAATCCACAGTAAAACCTCATAAAACTCTTGGTAAGTGGCACAGGGAGTCGATGTCGGTATAGAACGCCATTTCTTCTTAGTACCCAACCTGAAACGACGGAGCATCTCAACCGGATTAGTAGCAACCTCCAAATCATATCAAGACAAATCAGTGAATCTCCTGTAATATTCATTCGCCGTCATCTTTCCTTGTTTCAGATGCGTAAATTCTTGTTTCTTGCGATCAATATACTTAGGGGGAATGAACTTTTTCCGAAACAACTGTTTAAACACTTCCCAATCGGCTGCTACCTCTGGTGGCATCTGATATGACTCCTGTCTCCACCAGGATGCAGGCTCCGGACCTAGAAACCAGGTAGTTGCTCGACCCACCTATCAGGAGGAAGATTCCCCTGACTTTGCATCACAAGGAAAGTCTTCTCGACTTGATTAAGCCACTTCTCTGCTCCTTCATGTCCTCCATTACCCATGAAATGATTCAGCTTCAGATTATACATAGTCTCAAGATGTGTCCTTTGAGGAGGACGAAGCGAATACTGAATGGCATTAGCTATAACTTCCCCTAACTGAGCAATATCGGGGAAACTAAGCTCAACTGAGTGACAAGGCTCTCTATGAGGCGGCATAGTTCTGACAAAAGACATCATAATGATTAGATTATTCACGAGATATACATGACTGCTAAATCTAGGCTCTGATACCAAATTGACACACCCCGACCTAAAATCAAGGCGTGCTGCCCGCCATGTGAGGGTAACGTAGCCATGTGCACAGTGCGGAAGCAATAAGGATATGAAATATACAAATAAATAAGAACCGAAAGCTAATTAATTTGCACTAATATGTAGAAAGTGTTAGGAATGAGATACAAGTGTAAATACACTTAATCAGAGCGTAGAAAGTCTAGGTGCAGTCCAGTAGGACAAGTACTAGTTATACAGTACCATAAGAGGTCCTACATATATTATATTTTGTCAGAACCGCCGAGATCCTCAAATGCCACCAACATCGAGTCTACCTAAAACTTGGAGGGGCGCAAAACAGAAAGTGTGAGTGGGAAAAAACAAAGCTTTTTAAAATCATTTCATTTAACAACGCTCTAACCCCTTGCCGTAAAACATATATAATTTTCCTAGGAATGGAATAAAAATATATATATATATCAATTCATGCTTCACACATATCCATAATCACAAATATGCCATGCCAAGGTATAAACAGAATAAATAACTCAGGTGAAAATAAATTCATGGAAAATAACATATTAGCCGGAACCCCTGCAAAAGTCTGTACGGCTAAATTCATAGCTCATTAATCAATCTAGCCGGAGTCACTACAAGTGACCTATACAGCACTACACTGCACACAAGTCGGAACCACTGTAAGGGTCTGTACGACAAGATTGGGTGTAATATAGTTATGCTTAATGCTACGCACTCATGATAGTTGTACGATAAATCCTAGTCACCTACGAGTCAGAACCACCTATGATGGTCTGTACGACAAGACTGTGCACCTAAATTGGATCCAATGTGAGCATATGGCGCGGGAGGTGACATTATATACAGGCATGTACCATATCTCTGGTTAAATCACAATCACCCGGGGTGCAGGTTTATGAGCTTCCAATCACATCTCATATTATAAATATCTCATATAATAAAACATAACTCACCTGGTACTTACCTGAGCGTCCACAATACCAATTCATATTATACATCATATACTAATTCATATGCTGAATGTAAATTTATAAGCATGGCATTTCAAAGCATACTTTCATTTAAACGCATTTTCTGGGAAAATATCAAGTATATAAGTATATATTGAAAACCTAAAGCCCACTCACTGGTATGTCGAAGGGTCGTAGCCCCCGAGTCGTCCTTGACTGCGCTCGTCCTCGGGATAAGTCTCCCCTATATGCGAAACAACTATAAAAACATTAATTTAAAGCACATAACCAATACTAGCTAATAACTTCTCATACATTGCTCAAATGAGGTATATAAATATATCATCATGACCTACACAACTCCATGAACACGCCCAAATTTTTTAA